TAATAATAACAGTTATTTTTATTACACCATTGAGAATTTGGGCAAGAGACGCTTACAGAAACATAATACGTACGTGGCGGAACTTAGCAACAACAACAACAACAATAATAATAACAATAATAATAACAATAATAATAACAACAACAACAATAATAATAATATGGTTGTGGATCTAATTGGGGAGGATGATTTCTGCCATTCCGCCAACCTGTACAACACGATCGAGCACATATCAATGAGTGATAATAACAATATAAATAATAATAACAACAACAACAATAATAATAATAATAATAATAATAATTTTTATTATACCAGCACAGCAAATAGCAGGAGAGGCAAAAAGCGCGGGAACGCCAGCCAATCAAATCAGACCAACAAACTAAAAAGCATTGGTTATTATTTCTGCAAAAACAACAACAACAATAATAATAGTAATAATAAGATCAATAATAATAATAATAGTAATAATAACGAAATGACGTCATCGACGACAACAAACTCAACAACTGTTGCGAGCTGTTACACGGCATTCAACGGCTGCAACAACAACAACAACAGCAACAAAAATGGCGTCACCTTCAATAAAAGTGATAATAGCTTCAGTAATAATTATAACAACAACTACAACAACAACTATAATAACAGCAACAACAACAACAACTTTAACAACGTAGCGTTTGATTACAGCAAAAATGACATCAACCCATATGAAACGGTTAAATCGATCAACATCTATAGTGTTAGTAAATTGTCTGTGTGTGTGTGTGTGTGTGTGTGTGTGTTTGCGTGTGTGTGGGTGTGTGTGCGTGTTTGTGTGTATTTGTGTGTGTGTTTGTGGATGTGTGTAAATGTTTCATGTGAGAATTTATTTTGCATTCTCACTAAAAACAGAACGGAACGTTGAAAAATCGCTTAAAACACAACAACATCAACAACAACATCAACAGCAACATCACCAGCAACAACAACAACATCAACAACAGTTTCAGTAGCAGTAGTAACAATCTAACTAACGATGTCTATCATTCTCCAAAGCTGCCACAGGATCGCAACAACAGCATCAACTTTTTTACGCAACAACAACAACCACAACATCATCAACAACAACAGCAACATTTTATAATGCCGCAACTGTATATTCATCAACAACATTTGCAACAACTACAACAACAAACGCAGTTGCAGTTTATGCAACAACAACAACAACAAACGCAGTTGCAGTTTATGCAGCAACAACAACAACAAAACTACACAAACACAACAGCAACAACGTCAGCAGTTGACATCACCAAACATATACCAACGACAACAACATCAACATCAACAACTATGGCGCCAGCGACAAAGTTGAAAATTGGAAAAATGTTTACTAAAAATGTTGTAAAAGTTAATAGGGAAAATCTGAGAATTGTGCGAAAGTTAGGATCAGGGAAGTAAGTGGAAGATTTTCCGCTGAATTAAACCATATAAATTATCTAGTAAAAAGTTCATGTTTCATTTTTACAATAACAGTTTTTTCTTTATAATTTGTAAAGTTTGTTTGTATATTCGTTTGTTCGTTCGTATGTTCGTTCGTTTGTTTGTTTAATCATTCATTCCTTCATTCTTATATAAAAAGATAGATAGAAGGAAATAAATAAAGATATATGAAAGAGAGAAAGCTAGGGAGAGAGATAGGTAGAGAAGAATGAGGAAAAAGAATATGTACCAATCAATCAACCAACCAACCAACCAACCAACTAACCAACCAACCAACCAACCAACCAACTAACCAACCAACCAACCAACCAACTAACCAACCAACAAACCAACTAACCAACCAACCAACCAACCAACTAACCAACCAACCAACCAACCAACCAACTAACCAACCAACCAGCCAACTAACCAACCAACCAACCAACCAACTAACCAA